GTTGTTATTCCCCTAGCAAAACTGGTCACTTTCATTGACTAATGTAGTAAATTCCACTAATAAATGTAGTAAATTCCACTAATAAATGTAGTAAATCTCATTAACATGACCTACAAAACCATTGCACAGTTAAATGAATTTGCATCACCACAATGTTGTTATTCCCGTAACAAATCTGGTTACTTTCATTGACTGATGTAGTAAATTTCAGTAATATATCACCTCAATATCATTGTCCACTCAATTGAATTTGCATCACAAGCATGTTGTCATTCCCTTACCAAATCTATTATTTTCCATTGCCGAATGTAGTCAATTACTCTAATTAATGTTGTAAATTTCATTAACATATCACTTAACAAATGTAATCATTGCCAACACAAATTTAGTCCTTCTCAGACCAACAGTTGTTATTTCAAAACCAAACCCGCTAGTACTATTTACTACTTACCTCATCAAATTTACTACTCGGCTAATAGAATTACTGCTTGCTAAATTACTACAACAGGATAACCTTTGCAAATTTTACCCACGCAAGGACAAACTTTTCACCCTAAACCATTCAATGAAAATGAAAGTAACTTTGTCATTGCCGCGCATGCAGACCAAATTAGTGGAATTCTACTTCCTTAAAATCCCACCCTCTCCACATAGAAAGCTATACTCTTTTTAGAAAAGTCAAATAACACCGACAAAACTATCCTTTCCATTTTGTTCTTTTCCTTCAAATCAAAATAAACCAATCCCCACAACAAAAGCAATCCCCTGTTCCAATTAAAGGCCACCCAAAATGGATTAAACACTATCAATCACAATCATTTCCAAATATGTACACAACCAAACACATCAGCAATAACATGGAAACAACTTTTTTCGTCCTAGAGCAACTTCTATGGGAACAACAAAGACGGAACCACAAAGAGCATCACTGCATAATTACATTTTAAGCTTCGGGGACCCATCGAATGAACAACAATATTCAAGTTCCCTACCTGTTTAATTTCGAAAGCGACGGCGACAATGTGATTTCGGCGACCGCTTTTTCGTTACTAGAGGACCTTCGATTTGGTTTCGCCGAGTGGGGGCACTTTCTGTTTCGGTGGGTTGCTCTCGTCGGGTCGGCGGGTTGCTTTCGTCGACTGGGTGAGGTAGTTCTAGTTCCTGTTTCACTTAGTGGGGGTTGCTTTCGCTGAGTGGAAGCAGTTCCTCTTTCGTCGAGTGGGGTGTTGTTTTCGCCGAGGAGTCGGTTTCCGCCTTTTCTCCATCTCCTCAAGTTTCAAACATCTTAAGGGCATTTCGGTCTTTTCGCCGAAAATATTAATTCCAGATTGGTTCCCAGTGACCTCCTTGTCATTTTGCTTATTCAGGTCCCTTATTTGTCCTTTTGGAATTGAAGTGGTATTTTATTGTCATTTTCCCATTATAAAATAAGTTAAATTAATTATTTGTAATAAATATATATTATTTTTTTAAAAATATCCTTCCTAATCAAGTTTATTAGCTATAACTATTATTATTAGAAAGACTATATTGAAAAAAATAAATAAATATGTGAAACAGAATGAATTAGAATTTTATATTTAGAATCAAAATAAAAATTAAATAAGATCTTATATTAAGAATAAGAAGTAGTAGTTTATTACTCCCTCCTAACTGCCAAGTGAAAAACAATTTTGTTTCGGCCAGTGAGATTTTAGTATTTCATACTAGTTTTAGAAAACAATGGTTGGTGACTATTATCTGAAACCAGATTTTTATAAGTTTAGTTAATTAGTTAATTAGCGTTAGATAAGGTTTGGTGAATTTTAAAGTCTGTACAAAGTAAATTAATAAAATATAAATAAAGAAGACAATTTTATTTAAAAGAAGGATATCAATCAGATATTCTTTAAGGAAAATTACAAATAAAGACTCTTAATATGTAAAATTACAATCTGGACTCTAAATTTAGAAAATAGCAAATAAAGACCCGATTTTACTTTTGTAAATATGAATCATGATGAAATGTCTGAAATATTCCTCAGTCAAATGACATATTAACTATAAAAAATGACAAGTTCACTTTAGTGAATGACAACTTCAGTAGACCAGATTACAACTTGACTAAGGACATGTTAAATGACGAGTTAACTATAGGAAATGACAAGTTTACTTCTGTGAATGACAATTTCAGTAAATCAAATCACAATTTAGCTAAGGGATATTTTAGACATTTTACCCACATTTCATATTTACAAAAATAAGACCCGGTTCTTATTTGCTATTTTCTAAATTTAGGATCTCAAATCACAATTTTACATATTATGGGGTCTTTGCTTGCAATTTTCCCTATTCTTTAGCCGTTTTAAAACGCTTACTCTAATTCCGTGATTACGTGATATTATTAGTAAACGGATAAGATAAGAAATTATAATATACCCCAAATTATACACTCCTCCGGTTTTTAATATAAGACTCATTTAACTAATTTGGTTAAATTAAAGAAGTTAGGTAAGTTAGTTAGTTATAACAAAAGTAACACATTTTTCCTAAAACACTATAATAATCTTTTTTAATACCTCATCTCCCTTTTCTACTTAATTATGGTTGAGAGAATATCCATAAAGGTAATTTAGAGAAAATTGATAAATATAAAAAATGTGTCTTATATTTAGAACCAAAACCAATTAAAAAATTAGGTCATATATTAAGAACCGGAGGAGTATATAAAATTCTGCGCAGGTTGAACAAAATAAATGAATTGCAAAAAATGTCATCGAGCTGTAAAGGCCTCATATAAGATACGTTGGCGGGGGGCAGAAAAAAAGGTCCTCATATAAGATGATGTAGAGGCAAGACAACATTGCGCCTAAGTTTAGATGATATACTCCTCCTGTCCTTAATATAATACCCATTTAACTAATTTGATTAGATTAAGAAAATTAGGTAAGTTAGTTAATTATAAGAAATATGACATGTTTTTCCTAAAACACCATAATCATCTTTTCTAAACCCCATCTTCCTCTTCTACTTGATTATAGTTAAGGGAGTATCCATAGGGGTAATTTAGAGAAAATTGATAAATATGATAAATGGGTCTTATATTTAGGACCAAAATCAAATCAACAATTGGGTCCTATATTAAAGACCGAAAGAGTATTTAATTTTCTTTTCCAACAAAAGAATGCATTTTATTAATGGAATCATCAGCACAGCAAATGCTAGTAAAAAGAAACAGTACAAAAGGCTATTACCCAATGCCTACTCGCTCACCAGTACTCATCCCTGGATCAAGACTATAGTTACCATCTAAGGGTCTGTTTCATATAAAGAAAACAAAAGAAAAAGGAGGGGAGAAAAAATTTTAATAAACTTATTTTTTAAAAAAATAAAGAAGCAGGATTATAAAATTTTGATAAGAAAAAAACGTAAGATAAAAAAAATAATTAAAATTAATCAAAAAATTTTAACCCCACTTCTTTAATTATTTAAAATAAACTTATTAAAAAATTTTCTCCCATTCTCTTCTCTCTGTTTCTTTCGTACCAAACGGACCTAAGTCAGAAATGTCAGATCTCAAAATCTGTTAGAAATGAGGTGATGCTAAGATTAGCACTCCATCGTAGCTTATCCCAGTTTTTGCACAAGCTGCAATGTAACCTGCAGCACAATTCCCCTTTCTTGCAACAAGGAGAGGTTTGACATGAAGCCTACTGTCTAATAAACGAAGGATCACATCGAAGATTTGCCCACACTGCCATTCAATCGTATCAGTAGCCTTACCTCTGATGGCTAAAAATAGCTCCTCGCAATCAGTCTCTAAATACGCCAAGGAATAACAAAATTGATCACCAATTTTGATGTATTTAATTAAATGAACATTCTTTTACAATTCTATTGCACACAGATATTTTCATTTAGTAACAAAAGTACGGAAATTTTTTTTAAAAAAAAGTGAAAATAACTTAAATCAAAATCACCATCGTATATTGAGTGTAATAAATTTTTAAAGTATTCATTACACTGATTTTTTTTTTTCAAATTTTTGGTTCACATGCCTCGAATAACTCTTGCACTCGTTAAAACTTGAAAGTGTTTAGTAATTAAAAAAACAATTTTAAAAAATATTTTTATAAAACTTCTCTCTCATGTCTATTTTTGTATATTGTAAATAAAATTAGAATTTTTATTGCTTCCAAACAACGAAATATTTTGGGTGTGCTGTGCAAAAAGCCAAAAACGGCTTCCCAGGTCACGCTAACGGGGGGACGCTTTTTTCCTCTACCGGCTTCGTTTGAATGACAAGTGTCAACTGAGCACACGTATCCGAAAGTCGCAAAGTCAGAAAGATGGAAACGACGTAGTAACAGTCGTCTGCCAGCAGATCATGAATTAAAAAGGCCAGACCGCCAAGAGTGGGAAAAATCATCACAATATTACTTTTTTCTTTTAGAGATATGGTTACTATTTTAAATTATTTCCATTGCTCCTATTTCTCTTTTTTATATCGAAATAACATGATTTAGTTAAATGCTTTGTCTCTTTCACACCCGCATGTTAAATCTATCTTTTTTAAACATAGAAATAAAGCGGGCTTAAATTGAACCAGTTGGTCAAACGCACGAGTTGGATGAATTGATAGAACGAAGGAAGCATAGTTCTTGTACTTATGTATGCATTATTTTGAGTTATTCTGACATCAGAGACTCGTGTCTGTGATTTAAAAATGATTAAGGATGTAATCACGCCCCGTCAATAGCCACTAATCAGAGCAATTTATCTATAATACATTATTTTTATGTCCAAGAATAACAAGTAGAGATGGTTTTATGCAGCACAGATGATCCATTGGCATTGACCCCTTCCTCTGTTTTCCCCCTTGTGATTGACTTTCTTGGCAATATATGCATCATATAATCACCATTCACAACCTGTTCTTCTCTTTTTTCCAAAAGCTGGGAGCTGGAGACACACACACACACACACACACCACACACACACACACATCAAAATATTGGTGAGAAAAAATGAATGCCAACTTAAGAGGATTTCTTATTGCTGATCTTGAGTGGGATACCCAAAACTAGTAATGATTTCACATGAAGCTTTTAGCAAACAAATTGTGATTTACATAGAATTGGACATTTTCTTCCCTTCTTCAAACTTGCCAATCAACAAATGTAATGTACATAATTGGATATCATCCTAAAACGACATGCTTGGGACAATCATGGCTTTTTATTAGAATGCGAATGTGGATGACATCCTCGGCTTATATGAAACATTTTCTTCTCCAAGTAAAAGGGCTCTTAAAATGGCCTCGCACAAGCCACTATAATGTACAATCAAATGGCCGCCATCTGGAACTTCATGATAACGTATCCAAGGTAGCTTCTCTGAAACAAATCTCTGGATTTGAGAGGGCACAACCTTGTCCTCAAAACCTTGCCAAATGTGAGCCAATGTAGAATTCTGAGGGAATGGATTGCTTAGTTCTGTCGGGTCAAATTCCCACTTTCCAAAAGCCACCATCCAGTCATGTCGCAGCGTGTCAAAAACATCCTGATCCTTTAATTTCTCCTGCCAGGATAAACATACCATCATCACAAATTCTCTTCAAACGCACCACATTTATGTTAATTCACCATAAGAGTGCATTAAACATTCGTGCAGAGGGTCAGTTTCACTTATGTCTTGAACACTGTCATTGAGTGGACAGTTTCAATTTTATCTCATTAATAGTCTTAAAAAGGCTATGAAACTGTTCAAAAATGCAGGTCAAAACATCCCCCAAAAATGGTTTAGGGCATCAGAGCAAACCATATAGGAGTTGAATGAGACGCTTTGAACTAAAGGGGCAAAAACTGATTTGGAATAATCCAAAGGAGGGTAAGTTATAAGGAAACGTTTAAGGGGAAAAAAGTTACATAATTAATTACCTTGGTAAGCATTGGAAACCCAGGAATCATCTTTAAAATCTCAATATCTCTTGTGTTGAAGAATCTGGGATTTTTTTCAATTACAGAAGTTGAGGGGAGCCATTTCTGCGTCACCCACCAGTGCAATAGTGTTGGGGAGAATTTTGCAAGCCACATAGCCCACCTCATAAGTTTCCTTCTGTAGTCCTCCTTTATCAAACTCTCAGGAAGTGAAGGCCAATGGTAATTTATGACAGGAGCCACTAGAGCCACACCAGCAAGCCTGCATAAATGGTCTTGTTAGTGAAACTAAGGATTAAGTCCTTTGAAATCAATAAGCCAACCAGCAGCAGCAGCAGCAACAACATTGACAGGATCGTATGATGTCATTGAACTCTATCCAAGGCCAAATCTTTGGATATAATGAGCCAACCAGCAATAAAACAAAAATAAAATACATATTCAGGAGCATGTAATTTACCGGTGGGGGATGTATTTCAGGCAGCTCCAGGTAGCATAGGATCCCATTGAGACTCCGACCACATAAAACTTTGGTCCTAACTGGAGCTGATCAGCAAGTTCTTGAATGTCATGTACTTCAGATTTCAGCGAGCGTTTTGGGTTTGGATCACTTTCTCCATATCCAGCCCGGTCATAGTGCAGAAGATATATACCCAGTTCATCTATTAGTTCCTGCAAATCCGGAGTAAATGCTTAACATTTGGCACTGTTGGATTGCGGAATGCTTCTCTAAGCCGGAAGTGTGAATATATACTATAAATCCAGTACAAAATAAAGAGGGAAAAGAGGGCAAACAAATCATACTTTCAAGGAACCAGAACCATAATGTACTGATTCGATTAAAGTTTATGCTTTGTTGCGCTTGGGTAAACTTTTTCGATCAAGCAAGCCCGACTCGGCCGCAGCGAATTTTAATTACACTTCAAATTCAAAATTTGTTCTGTTTTCCCCCCTGTTACAGTAGTATTTAGATCTAAATCCAACAAAAATTAGCGTAAAAACAAGAAGAGGGGTTCAAGTTGGGGGTACTTGGGGAGCCAGAAAATTCATCTCTTTGGAGCTTCCAAATCCATGGACAATAATGATCTTGTGTTTGGCTTTCTCCTTGGGGACGCCTAACTCTCTGTAAGCCAGATACCTTCCATCACCGAGTCTGATTCTGGGAGAAGCCACGGGGAGTTCACCATTGGAGGGCTCATCAATACCTTTGGGAGGAGGAAGCTGAGTGGCCTGATAAACCATGCCCAGAAGACCTATAAGCAAAACTATGGCTGCTCTGGAGACCATCCCTGAAGAATTAAAGGGTAGATCTAGCAGGGCTAGCTTTCCAATTTTACAAGGGAAGACGAAAAGGGAATTGAGTAAAGTACGATTAGCTAACCTGAGAAAAGTTGAATCTGCAGAGACTTAACAGAGTGCGCTTTTGACAGATGGATCTAAGCATAATAGCCTGTCATGAGAATCAACGCAAAGAAATGAAACAGAACAGGCGTGAGGATCGAAAATAGAGGGATTGGATGGTATTTTGATTTTTGACTTTGAATTTGAAAGGCCATGTTCAGAGTATTTCACTTACCAGAGCTGGGAGCATATCCCTTCTGAAGGTTTCCATTTGAGAGCATCTCTCTCGTCCCACTTCGTTTCCTTTGCTTGTGATATTTCAATTGCAGCTCCGGCGCTTTCTGCTCTTTCACATTTCTATTTCAATTTCACAGCTTTCCTCCTATTTACTGCGTTTTTCCAAATCCCTTCAATCATGCTTCTTCTTTTTCTATGATTATAGGATATTGAAATTTCAGCAAATTTTTTTTCTGAAATTTAATTAATCTCTACAGAAATAAACTCAAATCCTTTTTCTTTGAAAAACCACGCATGGGATTATAAGATATAAACAAGAAGATTTAGAATTAAAAATATATATATTGACTGAGAAGTAAATCCATTCTTTAAACTCAATATTTCAGTCGAGCAAAAAATATTATAGATTATAAAATATATTGATGCGGATTCTGAATATGTGCTGTAATTTTTTGTGGATTCTTTCTATATCTTCTTACAGGCAATATTACTTTATAATAGTTTTAGAAAAATTAATAAAAAGAGTTACAGAGGAGCTTATTGAGATGATGCACGACAAGTTGCAGCATATTAAAATCCATATCAGTGCCAAAATAATACTCATGTCTTATTTATAAGACACTTCCAATATATTTCACACACACCAAGAAAAATCTTAAACTTTATTACCTCTCATTTAAAATTTAATAACTTTTTAACTTTATCCGTATTTAATATGTATTATACCTCATATAAATAAAGTCAACACAATAATAAATGAGGAGTAAAATTGTATATCTATATAAAAGATTTCTTTCAATACTCTATAAATAAGGCTAAAAAAATACTTTTTTTCTCTATCTTATAAATAAGATGAGAGAGCACATGTCTTGATTTTGGGAGAAAGTAATTATTGAGTGATTACGCTACCAACGCTCCACTGGAATTAAGGAATAAGCTATATATTTCATTAAACAATTCGATTTTTCCAATGATTTGGTTTGGATCCTCTCGTCATGTGCCTCACTTTCTGTCCTTTGGACAGATAATACCAGGCCGTCTCCTTTTCCGGGCAGAGAGGGACAGAGCTGGCCAATTGTGACCTTTTGAGAGTTCAAACAAAGACTCATGTTTCTTAATTATGAATCCCGTGAAAATTATATTCTCTCCTACTTTTATCTCTACGATACAAAATATTTTCTTTTAAATATCATCATTAGAAGATATGAAAATGCAAGAATTCTTGTAGAAATAAAATACAAGAGGGGTCATACTATGTACCACTTCTACTAATTTAAGTAAATCAAAAAAAATAAGTAAATTACTTAATTTTAACGAATGCAATATGATCTTCTAGAATATCATTGTATAATATTATATTATACATAAGTGTGTAAGCTAAATAAATTAGTTTAGAAATAAATGATATATATGAGTGAAAAGATAGATTAAGGTTTTATGTTCATGATGAAAATCAACTTCCTGATTAACCCTTACATTTAGAATCAAAGCATCTCAAATTTCAATTTTTTTCGTTAATGATCAGTGCTTGATATGTTGTGATTGGTTCTCATAATGAGAAGGAAGTTTCTGCGTATAAACCCGGAAATTAGAATTTTCTTTGGAGTTTCTTGCTGGACTGTTCTGGCAATTTGACAACAACGTGCTTCTTTGTAACTTGGTGAAAGCTCCATCCCATTTTAGATTATTATCTACTGAACCTTGGGTCGTGAACCAGAAAAGAATTATGAATCAGGATTGCCATAACATTAATTTTTGTTTCAAAACAGACTATCACCTCTCTTTCTTATTATAAGAGTTTGTTTAAGTTTTAATTTGATTCTAAATATTAGATCTCAATTTATTTTGTCTTTTATGTTTATTTATTTTTTTCCAAAATAATCCTTGTAGTTGTTACATATGTTAAATGTTTTATTAAATAGTAATTTTAGCTAATATACATAATTAACAATAATATTTTAGAAAAAAATAACACATATTTATAACAAATAACTAATTTAACTAATTTTTTTTAATCTTTTCAAATTATTCAACTGTGTTTCATATTAAAGACGGGTCTATTATTTCTCGATATTGAAAAGAAAAGCCAAACTACAATTGGCGGCGCCACTTGTTGGCTCTTATTTGCCAAACTGGCCTGTTGCCTTGTTTTCCTAGAGGCTATTATTATTTATTAACTCCATAATACTGTATTTTTCTAAGGTGAAGGTCGATACTATATTATATATGGGAAAGTGCAGGTTGAATTTTATAAATTAAAAGTTAGAAAGGGAAAAAAAGATGTGAATTATATCTCTCTGGTATGAATTAAATTAAGGTAAATACGAATAAGTCTTTGTTTTTTTCATCTCTTGATACTAAATTTTTACTGAAGTGTATTCTGGGGAAAAATGAATCAGAGGAAGTTGTATTGAACAAACGTGATGACGATTTGCTGACATAAAACCCTAATTGATAGAGTAACTGCCTAAAATTAGGCAAATGGATGGAAGATTAGGAGGAGGTCAAAGTAAGATAATAAAGAGGATAGAGTGGTCAACCTAGTTTTATCCCCCGGGGCAAAGCGGCCCCACCGTCCAAGCCTGCCAAACACCATTAAAATTAAAAGTCTAAACACACGCGCACTCTCTCTCTCCCCCTCTGTCAACCTGACGTGCCCACATGGGAATGATAGGATGCTCCAAGGCCTTGTCCTCGCCACTTTTTAGAGCTTCTCTGAATCGCAGATGGAGAGCCGAAAGGGATGATTTTAGAAAAGAAGGGCAGTTGACCGTTTCTTTTTATGTCTGTAGTAGGCGGGAAAATAACTACCGAGTTATAGGTTAGTAACTTTAAAATGGAAATAGTAGTAACCTTTTTACTTTCGCTGACTTTTGATTTTTTTTTTTAAATTTAAGCATTTTAATAGGCAAGTCTCCTCACGGGTCACTGAGATTTAATTCTGAATGTCATGAGATTTTATCAAGTAAGGTCACTATCACAATCTCTAACTATAAAAGCCATATTAGGACCTCGATATCGTGATATCAGAACTGAACTCAAATCACTTGAGTGAGGAGATTATTCCTCATAGATCATAATCAAATTCTTTCTAATACACATATCCTCTATGTAAGGTAAGTACAAAGGATATTCAAATATCTAAAGATATAGATAAAATATTATAGAATCAAGCTTTACATAGAAGACACACTAGTATTATTATGCTTCAACTCAACTTATATACCATCTAATTTGTGTCTCCAAAAATTGAAATATGCTCTATACTTTCTCGTATGGAGGACCATGTGCACCAGAAAGAATCTGACCATAATCTATGAGGAGTAATCTCCCTACTCAAATGGTTTAAGTTTAGTTTTGATGTTATGAAGTTGAGGTTCTAATGTAGCCTTTGTAGTTAGAGATTGTAGTAGTGACCTTACTTGGTAAGATCACATGGCAACTAGAACCGAGTTTTAGTGATTATGTTAAGGAGACACGTCTCAAACTAAATAAATTTTTGTCAAGCTAATCTTTTTTCATAACAGTCTTTGAAAACATAAATGATACTCCTCCAGTCCTAAATGTAAGACCATTATACTAATGTGTATAAGGGTCTTACATTTAGGACCGGAGGAGTATTAATATAACTTCAGTTTGCAGAAATCATTGAAATAAAAGTTATTTTGTCAATATTAATCCAAGCAAGTGCCTGGTTTAAGTAAACCAGTTGAATTTATATTTTTTATTATTTATTTTCTCATTCAAGAGTCCATCTTCAATGTGATAATTCCTAATTTTCTCAAGGTTAACGATTTTAAAAGGACAATAAACAAGAAGGGTAATCTTTGTTCCGGTTGATTTAAAATATTGTTGGATACTGTATCACGCGGCATATTCTATTCTCTCTCCTATTTTTTTTTTTTAATCACAGTAAAAGATTCAATATAACTTCACAGAGCAAATATAATACTACGACCATTTTTTAATATAATACTTATTTAACTAATTTGATAGATTAAATAAATTATTAAATTAGTTAAGTATAGCATATGTTACATGATATTTTTAAAACACTTATATATATTACTAGATTGTATGTTAATTTATAAGTTAGGTAAATTAGTTTGGAAAGAATAATAAATATAAGTTTTTAAAATAATTTATTAACTTTCTTAATATTTTTAAATTAGTTATTGAATTTTATATTAGGCATTGGGTAGGATATTACTACTGAAGTATTGAGTCCTTCCTTTTTCTTCTTGTTCTTCTTAATCCAGTTTTGTTGGTAGGTTATTTCTTTTCCATTTCGCCCTATTTTTTGTTTATTTCGCCCTATTTTTTGTTTCTTCGTGATTCTTTTCTTATTTATAAGCCGATAATTTAATTTACATAACCACGAGAAGACAGAAAAAAAAAACAGTATACAAAATACATCTTGACAAATGAAATATACAAATTACTACTAAAATCCAATGAGTTGTCAAGTGGCTAAGCCAACACTTCAAAGTTCAAATCAACCACCTTATATCATGCGAGGGGCATTAAGGTGATTTGATTTTCTATTTGATATGTAGTTTTTATTTTCTTTGTAACCTAAGAAACCACGTCATGTATTGTTTGGATTAGAAGAATCTCAATTATTTCGAGACTAAATATTAATCACGTCTCTTTGCAATCTTTACCTCAATTTTGATAATCCAGTCTTCAAGTGGCGTAAACTTCATTTTGAAGTATAGAGTTTCTTATTTTCTCAAATAACAAAGTCAGTTAATTTTTTTGGTAAAAAAATCATGTAAATTGGATGTAAAGAAAGCGCAAGCAAGGAGCATGATTTTTGCCCCAAATTGGGCTAGCTTCAATCCGGGCCATAAAAAAGACAATCATATCAATTGGGCTGGACCTCACTTCAGGTCCACTCTTTTGGAGATTCTCCGGCCCAAAAATTTCGCAAAGATTAGTTATAAGGCTGGCCCAAAATGTTATCCTAATTACTCCTCTGGTCCTAAATATCCTAGTGTATAAGGGTCTTATATTTAAGACTGAAGAAGTAATTTATTATGCAAATGAAGTTTTGACTCTTTTTAATTAATAAAAGGACGAGATCGGATGTCTTGTTCTCCTCTAGGAAAAGGATTTTTATTTAAATAAATTATGAAATAACCATTCAAATTTGATCTCCTGCCCTTAATATAAAATAATTGTACTATAAACTACACACCGGAAGTAGTAATATTTGTATTGTCATGCTGCACTTATAAATAGTCCTCGTCACACATGAAAAGTGTTAAACTCGAACTATCTTGACTAGTTCCGTTTTTTATGAGTTGAACCACACGAATTGCGGATTGGTTTGAATTTCACCTATTATTACTATTTATGGTTTTCTTGACCTTTCAACTTCGGACCGACCTCTAGCGAAGTCAATTTTGAAAATCAAAATTTACCAAAACTCACCGCTATGATATCGACAGTGAGTTAAACTCAAAAACTCAGAAATCGATGGCCAAAAGCCTCAGAAATCCAAAACGACGTGGGTTGTGTAATTTTATCGTAACAGAGCTGTAACCGAACCAAAAGATTACGGTACAAGTTGAAAAAGCTACTGGAGAGAGGGTTGTTGGCCGAGCAAGAGTTGTCTGAAAATAGCTTCACATAAACCTGGTTCGTGAATCATAAGATGCCCACCATCTTCAACCTCAACGTACTTTATCCATGGAAGCTTGTTCGCCAGATATCGTTGCAGTTCATAGGGCACTAACTTATCTTCATGACCCTGCCATAGATACACACCACAACCTTCCTTTTCTGGGAATGGATTCTTCATCTCCATCGGATCGAACTCCCACCTCCCAAAATGCACCATCAGGTCCCTATGCAGCGATTCGAAATCGCCCTGCTGCCTAATCTTATGCTGCAACCCAAACACCAGAAAACCAAAACCTTCATTATATTGTGAAAGATATACAGACCATAAACACGAAGTGATTGAGAAATTAACGAACCTCGTGAGGCATAGGTACATGTGACATTTGCTTTATGGTTTGTACGTCTCGTCTGTTAGCTAGAATTGGGTGTTCCTGCATTATAGAACAACAAGGGAAAATCTTTTGGGTCATCCACCAGTAGACCAGGCCAGGAGCATAGTGTGAAATCCTGAGTTTCCATTGATCTCTTTTGAGTTGCTTCTTGAATATCCTGTTCGCCAATTCTGGATTAAAAGATGGCCACCAGAAATTTATCACAGGAACCACCATTGTCACTCCAGCTAGCCTGCATCGATCAAATTCCTTTCATGATATCGATGACTCGATCACGGTAAAATTGTTTAACGGACAGTAAGGAAGATGATAATAAGAGAGAAATTAAAGCATGCCTGTGTGGTAAGTATTTAAGGCAACCCCAGACTGGATGTGTTCCAATGGAGAGACCAATGAGGTAGAATTTTTGACCCAGTTCCAACTGATCAACCAGTTCTTGGATATCAAAAGCTTCAGTCTTGACGCTGCGTTTTGGGTTTGGATCGCTCTCTCCATACCCAGCTCTGTCATATGTCAGCACGTACAATCCCAACTCGTCCACTACTTCCTGCATAAGAGTGGAAACTCTGAGGCTACATTTGATCAAGCTCTGGTGACTAAAAGAAACAAAGATTTTAGTTTACTTTAGAAAGTGGCAAATAGATGTCCTTGGAGCTGTTAAAGCCATGGACAAGTATGACTTTGTGTTTGGCAACTTGTTTAGGGACTCCTCTTTCTCTGTAAGCCAAATGTCTACCATCACTGAGCTTGATTCTCGGTGAGGTCACCGGCGGGCCGTTCGGAGTCCCGCAGATTCTTGGTTCTGGGGGCTTCATTGTCCTTTCATAGTAAGCATGTATCAGAATCGTCACTAACAAGACAGATACTGCAAGCATAAACATATTTTCTGCACTTATGCAAAATCAATCCGTCTAAGTCTTGCCATTGATCGTATATAAAATTTCAGCTGAGAAAATTGGCTTCATTGGTTTGATCTTAACGTGTTGACTGGGGATCACGCGTTGTTTGGTTGAATAAAATTTTGACTGTTAGTTGATAACTATATTACTTTAACTATTGTCTCTGATACTGTTCGTTCCGTTGGAGATATGACATTAACCAGAACCACCAGCCATTGGAGATATGTCATTAACCAGAACCACAAGCTTCATGAGCATTATTAGCAGAAGAAATTACATCAATTACTTGGGAGCTTATATATATCTCAGGACAACAATAATTGATTATTCATTGTAATCCAATTAACTCACCTCCACACACACATATTTAGTGAAATCATGCCTTTTGGTGAGATGTCAAGATCACATTACTTTTTAAAAATTTCTCTCTCTTTTCTCCCAATCGTTGGAAGTGATTAAATTCTCGCAAGACAAAAATTAAAAAAATATTTAGATGGAACCCAAACCATGGTTTTAAAAGTGATTTCATAGTATACGAAATAAATATATGAAGAAATTTACTTAGATTTACGGAAAAGTACTTCTTAAAAATATTTTTCTTAAATGCCAGACATCCCCTTAAGTTACAATTACATATTAAGACATCGTTATATTATATATATTGATCATTTGTATATGATAAAGATATGGGTTAATACAAACTTTGATCTTTCAAATTTACCCTTATTTTGATTTTGGTCTTAAGTTTTAAATCATAGGTTTTGGTCCCTCAAATTTTCTTTCATTTAAAACATTAGTTTTTATAATCCAATAAAAATTTAAACCATTTACCTTTTCAGGGACCAAAACTTATGGATTAAAATTTGATGAACCAAAATCAAAATGAAGGCAAATTTAAGGAACCGAAGATTATATTCATCCTAAAAACATTCAATCCATATTTATTGACTAATATAAAATATTTTTAATATACAATTAATAATAATTCTAAGCACAAAATATATAGCATCAAAATGAAAATTTAAAAATATTTCAAAGAATTTTTTTGTTTTGATAAAATAAATCAGTACTAATCTTAAGCTTTTTTTTTTGTTATATTTTATTTTTTAGGGGTTTGTTTATATTTTGAAAAGAGAGCATAAAGTTGTATGATTTAAGCTTTTTTTTTTTAATGATTTTTAACTTAGTTCCTACTTTCTAACATATATATTTTTTTAATGATTATTGGATTAAATTTTACGATAGTTAACCATCTACTATCTACACACACCTTTTACTAGGGCTGCACAACAAAGTCTGAACCCGGTCCGAAAAAAACAGCCCAATCAAGAGACAGGACCAATCGGGTCAGACCAACATACCGGGTAAGACCGGGTTGAGGACTCATATTTCAGACCATGTGGTCTAACCCGGTCCAGGTAACCTCTTTTTTTTTTTTTTTTAAACATCTATATGTCATGGGATATATCAAATATGAGCCAAGCCCAACCCAACAAGCATTGACTAGCTGACCTGTGGTTTTGCGTTTTGCCCATACTTTTCTCTTAATCCCTTTCAGTTCACGGCTTTTACTTCCAGTATGTGCCCTAACATTCTCTACTTTTCCCTTTCACGACCTGAGAGAGCCGCTCTCTTCAACTGGTAATTATTGGATTGGGGGGTCAAGGAGAGGAGCGAACCAAGCTTGAAATGGGAATTGAGAGGCACGAGACAGTCGGGTCGCCAAAGCAGTGGTGATGAAGGCTGACAAGCACAATTGACCGAAACTGGAGTCTCACAAGGGATTTGGGAACTTATCCAGTCGGCCCTATCTTCAAGTCAGTCGATTCGAAAGTAGGTTCAGCTTCACTTTGCGATCATCTCCTCATTTCCTCAGTAGTCGCCTGCTTTTCAGTTTTCCCTTTTAAGAGTTCGTGATTATCTCCTCACTTCTTGAGTTCGCTGCGCTCCTGCTTCAACTTCAGCTCCTCGGATAGCTTCTTCTCCAAAGATTGATTAGCTTGTTGTCCTTGGAAGGCTCATTCAAGACTTTGAGTAGCTTCTTCTTCTTGACTCTTTGCTTTTTTTCTTGCTTTTAATTTCCTACGGTTTATTCTGTGCACAGCAATTGTTTCATTTTGCTTCGTTTTTATCAGAAATTGGTCATTCTTCAGTGTTTGATCGCTGATGCTGTTTTGGTGTTTCTGTCTTCATGGGTTTTGATTAGCGTATTAAATTGTTGATCTTTTTATGGCTTGATTTGAATCTGTATTGTTCGTCTCAGTAGCTCGTGCCCAGCACATTGTGATTCTTTTACTGATATCTCTCTATGATCAGTGATTATTCCATCTTCATTGTTCTGATCAGGATTTTCCTTGATTTGCAGCTCTGATCAGGATTTTCTTTCGCTATTATTGTCTTTTGTAGTGTCTAGTGTTGCTGATTTTATTTAGATTTATATGCAAATATATGTGTGTGTGTGTCATGCATTCCCTTGTCGGTGTCAATTTAGTTAATGCTTCTTGATAACTTGTGAGGAGGGTCCTTTATTATTCTTTATGGCTATGTCAACGAGAACTATATATTATAATTTGATTAATTAATGTATGATTTTTATTTTCATGTTAGAAATGGTTGATGAAACTTCAGCAGCTACTAGTCAACCCTCATCTGCACAAACACAATTAGTGGGCACTAGTGAAACTGAAATAGCCCTCCTGCTGAATCAATTTCTCCCACTCCCTCTCCTTCTTCAGTAGCTGAACCTGTTTCTAACCTTGGACAAGATACGGCTGGAGAGAATGTGAGTAGAAAGAGAAAAGAGCCTGAGAAGAAATGCACAAAATCACAAGTTTGGGAGCATTTTGTGAAATTACCTTTGGAAGAAACAAATGGAGAAGTTAAGGCTGCTTGTAGATATTGTCATGCAATTTATGCTTGTGACCCAAATAAGCATGGCACAACATCCTTGAAAAGGCACTTTCCAAAATGTCTCAAGAACCCAAATAGGGCTGACACAATACCAAAGCAATCAATGTTGAACTATGTGACTCCAAGTGGGTAAGCAAGGAGTTTAGTCCCTCATGTTTTCAATCAAAAACGATGTAGAAGGGCGCTGGCTGAATTTGTTATTTGTGATGAGATGCCATTTCGGATTGTTGAGAAGCATGGGTTTAGAAACTTTGTGAAAGAGCTAGAACCAAGATTTCGAATCCCTTCAAGAACAACAGTTGCTAGAGATTGTTGGCAACTATACCTTGGAGAAATTAAGATATTGAAGGAATATTGAAGAAGTCTACACACCGTGTTTGTTAACGACTGATTGCTGGACATCTGCTCAAAACTTCAATTATTTGTGCTTGACTTGCCATTTCATTGATCCTGATTGGAAGTTGCATAAGAGAATATTGAATTTTTGCATGATTGAAAATCACAGGGGTGATACAGTTGGCAAGACAATTGAGAAATGCCTCTTGGAATGGGGAATAGAAAAGGTATTTACCATAACCATGGACAATGCATCAAGTAATGACTCCGCCTTGTCATATCTGAAAAAGCGGCTTAAGAATTGGAAGGGAATGATTTGTGGGGGTGATTACCTTCATCTTAGATGTTCTGCACATATACTTAATTTGGTGGTTAATGATGGCTTGAAGGAGTTGAAGAATAGCTTTGATTCAATTCGCAATGCAATTAAGTATGTTCGTTCTTCCCTGCTCGTCTCCAAAAGTTCAAAAATATTGCTGAATTAGAGAAATTGGACACTTCTAGCCTTGTTTGTCTTGATGTTAGTACTCGGTGGAATTCAACATATTTGATGTTGGAATCTGCTTTGAAATTTCAAAAGGCTTTTGAACGGTTGGAAGATGAAGATGATGACTATGAGGCATATTTCACTAAAGGGGACATCTCTAAGCGTGAAGGCCCTCCTGAAGCTAATGATTGGAATAAGGCAAGAGTATTTCTCAAATTCTTGAAGGTGTTCTATGATATAACTTTGATGTTTTCAAGTTCACTAAATGTCACTTCTAACACTTGTTTCCACCAAATTGCCCTAATTCATGAGTTGTTGGAAGAGAACATTGTGAATGCTGATCCTTTGCTTTTGGATGTCCTTTAGCATGAGAAGTAAATATGAAAAATATTGGGGTCAAACAGAAAACATGAATCCTTTGCTCATTGTAGCTGTGATTTTAGATTCTCGGTATAAACTTGCTTATGTGTATCATATCTTTGAACAACTTTTTCATGATGGGGAAGTTTGCATGGCCATGAAAATTAAGACCAGAGATGTCTTGCACCGCATGTTTGATGAATATTCTGTTGGACAAACAAGCAATGCTGGTTCTTCAAGCAATGCTGCTTCTTCTGTACTCCTAGGATTATCAACATCAGCAATGCTACAAAGCCAAGTGGGTAGAGATCCAGGTCGCAGATGGTTAGCTTCTCAAAAAGAAAAAAGCTCTTCTGACCCACAATCAGAATTGGATAGATATCTTTCATCTACTTCAGCTGATGATAGCCTTATTGATGATGATTTTGATATCTTAGCATGGTGGAGAGCTAATTTGGCAAATATAAAATTCTTTCTAGAATGGCACGTGATGTCTTGGCTATTCCGGTGTCTACAGTGGCCTCTGAATAGCCTTTAGCACTGGGGGACGTATAGTGGACTCTTATAGGAGTTCCCTATCCCCGTCAATGACTGAAGCACTGATCTGTTCCCAGAATTGGCTACTCCCTGGGCAATCTCTCTCTGAATTTGCATCCATGCTTCAAGAGTTTGATAACTTTCAAGAGACAGACGGTGTGGTGAAGACTGGTATATGTTGTAATGCTATCGACTACTTATATTTTATATAACTATTTAAATAGATTTTATTTGTTTGTAATCCTTTCATAATATGTGTTGTTATATTGTAATGTCATTGACTATTAATGTTTTACATGCTTTTCAGATCATTCTACTATTACTGATGTTGGGGAGGATGTTTGACTTTCAGCATTTCAGTTTCAGTTTCAA